GTGAATTCTGTTTCTCCTACTGATGTACAATATAAGGTGACCTCAGGTCCCCCTACTGATGTACAATATAAGGTGTCCTCTGGTCCCCCTACTGATGTACAATATAAGGTATCCTCTGGTCCCCCTACTGATATACAATATAATGTGACCTCTGGTCCCTCTACTGATGTGCAATATATCGTGACTTCTGGTCCCCCTACTGATGTACAATACATGTATAACGTGACTTCTGGTCTCCTTGTTGATGTTCAATATTAGGTGTCCTCTTGTTTTCCTAATGAAGAACAATATGAGGTGACATCTAGTCCCCCTACTGATGTACATTGCATGTATAAGGTGACCTCTGGTCTCCTAATTGATGTTCAAGTGTTTTCTCGTCCCCCTAATGATAACCTATATAAGGTAACCTCTGGTCCCCCTACTGAGGTACAATACCTGTATAAGGTGACTTCTTGTCTTATTATTGATGTTCAATATTAAGTGTCTTCTTGTCCCCTTACTGATGTACAATATAAGGTGTACTCTGGTCCTCCAAATGATGTACGATATAAAGTGACCTCTAGTCCCCCTAATGATGTACAATACATGTATAAGGTGAACTCTGGATTCCTTATTGATATTCAATATAAGGTTATATCTGTTCTCCCTATTGATGTAAAATCCAAGGTGACCTTTAGTACGCCTACTGATGTACAATATAAGGTGATCCCTGGTGCCCCTACTAATGTAAATATAAGGTGATCCCTGGTTCCCCTACTTATGTACAATATAATTGACCTCTGGTCCCTCTACTGATGGGCAATATAAGGTGACCTCTGGTCCCCCTACTGAAGAACAATACATGTATAAGGTGACTTCTGGTCTCCTTATTAATTTTCAATATAAGGTGTCCTCTTGTCCTTCTAATGAAGAACAATATAAGGTGACATCTGGTCCCCCTAATGAGGTACAATACCTGTATAAGGTGACTTCTGGTCCTTTATTGATGTTCAATATTAGGTGTCTTATTGTCCCCTTACTGATGTACAATATAAGGTGTCCTCTGGTCCTCCAAATGATGTACAATATAAAATGACCTCTGGTCCCCTTATTGTTGTACAATACAAAGTGACCTCTAGTCCCCCTACTGATGTACAATACATGTATAAGGTGAACTCTGGACTCCTTATTGATATTCAATATACATGTACCCGTATAAGGTGACTTCTTGTCCCCTTGCTGATGTATAATATATGGTGACCTCTGGTCCCTCTACTGATGTACAATATAAAATGACCTCAAGTCCCCCTAATGATGTATAATACATCTATAAGGTGACCTCTGGTCCCCCTACTAATGTACAATATAAAGTGCCCTCTGATCCCCCTACTGATTTACAATATAAGGTGACCTCTAGTCCCCCTTCTGATGTAGAGTGCAAAATAAAGTGACCTCTGGTCCCCCTCCTGGTGTACGATATAAGGTATCTCTGGTCCCATTACTGATGTGGAGTATAAGGTGACCTCTGGTCTTCCTGTTGATGTACAGTATAAGGTGACCCCTGGTCCCCCTACTGATGTACAATATAAGGTGACCTCTGGTCCCCCTACTAATGTGCAATATAAGGTGTCTTCTCTTCCCCCTACTGATGTACAATATAAGGTGACCTCTGGTCCCCCTACTGATGTACAATATAGGGTGTCCTCTGGTCCCCCTACTGATGTACAATATAAGGTGTCCTCTCTTCCCCCTACTGATGTACAATATAAGGTGACCTCTGGTCCCCCTACTAATGTACAATATAAGATGTCCTCTCTTCCCCCTACTGGTGTACGATATAAGGTATCTCTGGTCCCATTACTGATGTTGAGTATAAGGTGACCTCTGGTCTTCCTGTTGATGTACAGTATAAGGTGACCCCTGGTCCCCCTACTGATGTACAATATAAGGTGACCTCTGGTCCCCCTACTAATGTGCAATATAAGGTGTCTTCTCTTCCCCCTACTGATGTACAATATAAGGTGACCTCTGGTCCCCCTACTGATGTACAATATATAAGGTGTCCTCTCTTCCCCCTACTGATGTACAATATAAGGTGACCTCTGGTCCCCCTACTAATGCACAATATAAGATGTCCTCTCTTCCCCCTACTTTTGTACGGTATAAGGTGACCTCTGGACCTCTTACTGATGTACAATATAAGGTGACGTCTGGCCCCCTATTAAATTAAAATGAAAGGTGACTTATGATCGCTCTAATGATATGCAATATAACGATAGGGTAAGGTAAGGTACAGTATAATGTAAGGTTACCTCTGGTCCCTCTAATTACTTTCATGTTTCTGCTAATATATATATGAGAAAGTAGATCTGTGTAAATTAAATTATAAATATAATTATTTTGGAGTAAGACAAAAACAACTGTCTATCATATAAAATTCAATTAATATATAAGGTGACCTGAGGTCTCCGTATTGATATCGATGAAATTACTTTTGTGCCTTTAATGCCTGAAGAGTTCCAAAAATGTTTTATTACTACGCAAAATGACGAACTATTTGCGGGGGACCTCAGGGCCTAGTTCAGCGTACGTTTTATCCTTCTGCGTGTACTCCTGCCTTGGAAAGTATGAGCCTGGGGACCAGGCTAATCAAAGTTAACGTGATTTGCCGCTAGATGGCGATCGCAAATTCCCTTCCGCCTCAGATGAGCGGTACCAATAGAGCGGAGGCTAAGCCTCCGTCTAAAAATGAGTGAAAACGAAAGCTTGTAAGAATATCGAAACAATTATTTTAAAATATCAGTAATTATAGTTTTCCACGTTTGTTTTAAATTCAAACAGCTAATAAAACTTGAATCTATTGCTTAGAACCCTCGAAATGAAATTTACAATAAGGTGTACTTGACAAAAACATCAAAGGTCTGAGAAGAGCAAAAAATTGCGAGAGTACAAAGACAGATTTATATGTAATTTTCTGAATCTTGTTGATCAAATTCGTATTTGGGGAGGCAGTTTAATTTCTGGAAGAGTCTAGAAAGCAATTTTTTGCAAAAAAAAAATCGAAAGGTTAATGAGAGGAAGGAATCAGAATCAGGAATCTACTATATTAAATTTCTTGATGACAGCGTCCAAACAATCACGCCCTGAAGAGAAAAGGTGATTTTGGGATAAACAAAAAGTTAATTTTTTCACATTTACAATATTCGCTAGATCTTAGGCCTTTTGACTTGTTTCATTTTTAAAACATGAAAAAACACATTTAAATCATGTTTGTGTTGTGATTCCTGACTTAATGGAATTTAAGTATTTCTCGGAAAGATGAGAATGTTTTATCATCAAAGTGTAATTTTAAGATTTAGTGGTTCTTTGCTACATATTTTTGTAAACCAAAAAATGTATATCTTAAGGCAAACTTTAAGAATTATCTTTTTAAAAAATGGATCAAGGACCCTTTCATATTGAAAAATTTGCTAAAGTATGAGAAAATGATCTTTTTTATTCTCTATAGTGCTTTTTCATTGGCAAATAATTGCAGTCTATGCGAGATTTTTATAAATTGTAGGGATTTTACATTTAGGATACTTTAATATTAGAATATTAGATGAAATACATGTATCAAAGAAAAATTGGATATAACTGGGATTTAATCTTTCACTTCATATTTGTCGGACTATAGGCACTTCGTCCGTCTTATCCTCCCAGTTTCTTTCTATCAACATGCCTACACCGGTATTTTCATTTTCATTCTTAAAGACTCAAAATAAAAGTAACAATTTACAGTTTGAACGAATTCTAAAATATGTTTACAACTTACATATTTTTCAAAAGACATTTAATTGAATGCTGACTGGTGAGTTTTGTACCATATATTAGGCCATTATTTAATCATAGTTGACTATCGATTTATTTTTTTAACTCTATAATCATGACAATGAACACATTGCAGTTATGATCGGGCGACAAGAGATTCTTACTCCTCCATGGCACCTAATCCGATCTCTGATGTTTTAGTGTCCCGTGTTTGCTCTGCTCCAAATTTGTATAGTTTAGATAAACTTTTATCCTCATATTTCATATACTGATAAACAAATTAGATTAGAAATGTAGAAAAACCGTCTTTTCTTTTTTAAAGATTATGGCAATACTTTTCTTTGCATTACAAAACGCCTATATTTCTTACAATGAAGCGCATTGAAGTGGTAAAATTTTCTGTTTGGATGAAACGTTCTAAGTCATGTTTTGAATGTCAATTACAACATAATGACACGCCCATATTTTTAGAAACGAGAAAGAAATATTCGTCATAATGTTTTAGGACACCCCATTCTTCGCTACAGCAATATGAGTTACACTGAAATGCAGCTTTAAAAACATTAGAATAGAGCGTTAGAGACTCTCCACTTCTGTTACAGTAAAACTCAAATTGCAACGAATATGTACACATTTTTGAACTTATCATGTCTGTTGAAGTTACCACAACACATGTTTCGGTCGAACACGTGTTTACTCGGTATTTATTAAGACCGTCAATTTCAATGGCTATTATATTTATGGAAAACCTGTTCTACAGGTATTCGCATAAAGAAATGGGCGTGTCATAAGATGACAATAAACGTTCTAAAGATAGCTCAAAATGTTCCATTCGAACGGAAAATTGTACCACTTCAATGCGCTTCATTACAAAATATATTCAAATATTATTTTTTATGTGATTTACTTTCACCCAAAGTTTTAATGAAACCAAGCCTTTCCATTTTGAAAGAAGGGTTGTGTATGTGTGTGTGTGTGTGTGTGTGTGTGTGTGTGTGTTTTTCTTTTTTGTAACTGATAGTGCTTTACCATTACAACTCTTATTTTGGTCCCCCAATGAACATAGCAAACCCCTATTGGCATAAATATGGTTCCCCATTTCCTTTCTATTATTTGACTGTCTACAAGTTTGAAAATGGTTGTTTGGACATGTGCATATTATCCACAGTTTAAAGAGTAAATTTAATGATTTTGTATTAATTTTCCTGCAGGCTGGAATTAAAAATGAACGTTTGAATATAGTATTGGAACCAGAAGCAGCATCGATCTACTGTCAGTATTTACAGATTGCTAGAAATGCAATAAATTACGACTCATGCGACCTAGGAGTACTCAGAGCCGGAACTAAATACATTCTTCTTGATTTAGGAGGTACTTCTAATGCCTCTTAACCTTGCCTCTCATACTTTATCTTATCTTATTGTGGGTGAATATCATAAAAGGTAGAGGAAGGTCGGGTATCACATCAGATCTACCTACTATATGTATAAATGGATCCTAGTACATTGTTTGAACCTTTTTGTGGGTAGCAAGTATGATCAAAGAGAATTTATTTAGATTTGTTCGAAAATTTTAAGAAACCGGTCCTAGGGAATACACTTCTCAGAATCAAGAATTTCTTTTGTAGGTGGTACTGCTGACATCACAGTACACCAGAAGTGTGAGGACAATACTCTAGAGGAAGTCCTTCCTGCCAGCAGTGGTCCGTGGGGAGGAAAATCCGTGGACGACGCCTTCATAAAATTTCTGACAGAATTGGTGGGCGAATCGGCAATGACAACATTGAAGCAAGAGTACATAGATGATTATTTGGAAATTATGAGAGGGTTCGAAACAAAGAAAAGAACTAGAATGCCAAACAAACTAGGAATGACAATTATGCATTTACCAATCTCCTTTTATAGCTTGTGTGCTAAAATGCATCATGTCAAAGATTTTAAAGCAATTATTGAGAAAAATGCAATGCATAAAGATAATGTCAAATATAGTGGAGGAAAATTAAAGTGGAGCAATAAGTACTTCGCCGGATTTTTCAAGAAAACCATTGACAGCATTGTGAAACATATTGACGAATTGTTTGATGAGAATGAAGTGAGAGATGTAGACATTATTGTAATGGTGGGATGTTTCTCGGAATGCACGCTTGTCCAAGACGCCATTAAGAAAAACTTCGAACATAAAAAAGTTATCGTTCCGGAAGAAGCAGGGTTAGCTGTGGTAAAGGGCGCCGTGTATTTTGGTCACATCCCTGATGCTAGCTCGCGGAGATCAGCGCAGTATACGTACGGAATCCAGACATGGCCAGAATTTAGGCCAGGGTTTCATCTTGAGTCGAAAAAAGTCAACGTTAGTGGATCCGTGCGGTGTAAAGACGTCTTCTTCAAGCTCGTTACTAAAGGCGAAAAGATCTTTACAGGATTAGCCAAGTCCCAGTTCGTCCAGGCTCTTACTTGTAAGAAAAATTACCTTGAATGTGCTTTATATATTTCCGATAAGAAGGACCCAGTATATGTTGACGAACCCGAATGCAGATTGATCGGAATCCATCAGATTCCATTATCGGCAGATGAGAATCAGCCATTGTATGAAATAGAGGAATCTTTAATTTTTGGAGAGACGGAGTTAACATTTAGAGCAAGAGATTTACTCACCGGTGTACAACGTGAGGTTACTTTTGATCTCCTAAAAGAATAGTCACTAGGCAGTAATTAAGCATTCCAACCATGCTTGTAATTTGCTGACTTTTTGTGAAACACTTCTCTAGAGGAATCTACCTTCTGACTGTTAGTAGTAGTAAAATTGATTACTCAGTATCACCGAATTTAATAAAATATCATTTTTTGTGACAATTGAATTATAACATTTCATTTATGCATTTTGACACATCTGTACTGAAATCTCAAATGAGTTTGTTTGATCACCCCGACGTTTTTCCAGTGTCTGCTTACGTGTCCGTCAGTCATGAAGATCTTGGCTTCGTCTTAAAAACAACTTGGCATCTTTTAACCGAAATTGACACAAGGTGACAAAGTGTTATTCATTGAATAAAGCGGATTCTTTATCTTTCAGATGAACTGCAAATTTGCTAATGTTGTCTAGTGAATATCTGTCTGTACTTGTTTATGTTGATGAAACAAGGGATATCTTAACAGGAGAATATTAGTTCAGCAATTTCAAACAATCATGGGAGTCAGCAGCTTTTGTACATGTGTGTTTTTAATTTACCTCATCATTACATTTTGTCAATGAAAGCAAAAATTCTCGACAAGATTTATCACCACACAAAAAGTACATCACTGACTTTTGTGGCAACGCACTTTTAAAAAAGTACGCACTTTGAAAAAATTTTCAAAGTGCGTTAAAATTGGGACAAAATCAACGCACTTTGAATTTTTTTTTCAAAGTGCGTTAAATTTTGGACCAATGCAACTCAACGCACATTGAATTTTTTTTTCAAAGTGCGTTAAGAGTTTACATCAATGTATTTTACCATGGAGACACTTAACGCACTTTGAAAAAAAAATGAAATCATATTATATATTAGTAATGGAAAGCTTTTATTTGTTATTTATCTGTCAAAAAACTTATGAATTGATTAACTCCCGTCAAAAAGAGGAGAAGACGGGTAAAAGATCCCTCAGTAAAAAAACTTTATCTTTCGAATACATAGGTGTCGGTAACAAACAGGGGAGAGGAGCACTAAACCTAAAAAGGGTAAGCTGTATTTTCAATGCTTATACGATGTATATATCTTTCCAAAATAAGTGTGGGGGGCTTGGACCCCCTCCCCTGGCCCTTCACACGGTCTCGATGTCTATGCTATACCCAAAACATTTATATATGTATTTACATAACTGGTATAACGTTGAAAACTTTCAATATTAAATGAGTTAATTAAAACATATGAAAACTGGAAAACTAGAAGTACAGTAAAACGTATGAGAGAAAAAGAGCGATATGGTCCTGAAACCAGGGGCCATGAAATTCACAATTCACAATTTTGAAAGAGGCACCATTGTTTATCATTATTATAAACTTAGCATGCTTACTCTATTTACTTAATACCCAAAGGTAGATCAGAGTAACAAAGAGAAAATGCACTTCCACTTTATAACCAGTTGTGCACCTCACCCCCAAAGGATTTCAAAATTTTACAAATTTTATCATAAAATGGTTGATTAATACCAAAGAGCAGATTTCAAAGCATTATTTTATTTTCAGACTATGTAACATCCCCCCCCTTGATCCGGGGGGGATAAAAAAAATAACCATTTTGCTAGATGCACCTTTCATCATCATAAATATATGTCCTTGGATCATTGGCATAAAACCCAGGAGCAAAGGAAAAGATTTTCAAAGAATTAAATGAATTTTCACTGTATAATCAATAGAGCCCGCCCTAACACCAGAATCCCTGACCCTGGGGCCATAAAATTCACAATTTTGGAAGAGGCGTTCTTGCTCATCATAACTATGTACTTACGTAAGTTTATTTAATACCAAGAAGCAGAGTAGAAAAGTTTCAAAGAATAATGCATTTTACCTATATAATCAAAAGACCCCGCCCTTACACCAGAACCCCTGACCCTGGGGCCATAAAATTCACAATTTTGGAATAGGCACTTTTGCTCATCATAACTATGTGCTTAGCTAGTTTATTTAATACCCAGAAGCAGAGAAGAAGATTTTCAAAGAATTAATGCATTTTCACTATATGATCAATATAGCCCCGTCCTAACATCAGAACCCCTGATCCTGGGGCCATAAAATTCACAAATTTGGTAGAGGCACTCTTGCTCATCATAACTATGTACCTGGTTAGTACCCAGGAGCAGAGAAGAAGTTTTTTCACTATATAATCTATATAGCCCCGCCCTAGCACTAGAACCCCTGACACTAGAACCATGAATTTCTCAATTTTTGTAGAGGACTCGATGCTGATTACATTCATACCAACAGTTTGCCTGCTTGATGTCTAGGAGTAAAGAAGTAGATTTTTAAAAACTCCAATAATTTTAGTGGTTTTGGCCCCCACCCCTTATGCTCCGGGGGGGGGGGGGGGGCAGGGACCATAAAATTCACGATTTTGTTTCCCTTCATCCATAGATGCTATATACCAAATTTGGTTGAAATTGGTTAAGTGGTTTCAGAGAAGAAGCTGAAAATGTTCAAATGTTAACACACGACACACGACGACGGACGAAAACGGATAGCAATAGGTCACCTGGGTTACTCAAATGACATAAAAAGACGTTGATACTTTGTCAGAATGGATTAAATGTGTCAGATCCATGTTAAAATCACGTATTAAAAGATTGAGAGGCAATATGAATGTAACGGGAATCCCGGCAATAATAAGTTGAAGAACTTTCTGGTTTCATAAGTTTATATATCAATAATTATATTGGCTCTGAAATTAATATAAAATATACAATAACATTAGAATGGTACAATAAAATATAATAGTAGATATACATATGAGTCATTATTCAAATAGTGTCATAAATGAATATTTCACTCTATGGCATGTTGTTACACTTTACATGTACAAAGGGCAATAACTCTTACAAGCTAAATCTACTTTCCAAAGTCGTGAAGAGTTATTTTTCATACATAATCAAAATAATAAAAACAGTGATGCTTACCGGTAGGTCTTGTAGAGTAGGCTTTCCCCCATAAAATCTCCCCCCACCGGAAAACTGGCTCTAGAGTAGACTTTCCCCCCGGAAAACTGGCTCTAGAGTAGGATTTCCCCCCAGGAAAACTGGCTCTAGAGAAGGATTTCCCCCCAGGAAATCCCACACCAGAGTCATTTTTCCGGGGGGAAATCCTACTCTGTGTAGTAGTTATAGAGTGCGATTTCCCCCAGAGCCAGTTTTCCCCCCAATGAAATATGATTTAAGGACAGATGATACAAACAAACCTTGAAAATTAAAATTTAAGTCCTAATCACATAAGTAAAATGAAATTTATTTAAATTTTTCATTAAAAGTTTCACAAAAAAAAAAAAAAAAAAATTGTATAGATTACTAAGGATGTTTACAGAGAGGTGGAAATTTGAAGTTTACAATTTTTTAATATTTTAAAAGTTTATTGTAATTGTTATCATTTACAACCAAAAATATATATATATATATAATACCAATCCAGACATCCATTTTTGTTTGTTTCATTATGGTTAGAAAATACATGTATTGACATTTCTTTTGAAATCTATATATTTCGTTGAGATTCCATGATTTACCTTACACATAAAAAAAAAACAATTTACCTATTAAAAATCAGTTTCTCGTACTTTTGTTTCACAAAAATATTGCGGCTTTGGGTTATATTGACTCTTTAATGAGGGGGGAAACCCTACTCTGAGAGAGAAAGAGGGGGAAATTTGGCTCTGGTGTGAGATTTCCCCCCCGGGGGCAATCCTACTCTAGAGTACGATTTCCGGGGGGAAAGCTGGCTATGGGGGAAATCCTACTCTACAACCGGTTTGTGGAACCAAGTCCATCTGACATACTGTGTGGATCTTTTCAGATATGGTGTTACACTATATAATAATAAATAAATTCCTAAAGATATGCTCTTTACAATAACTCTGTATTTACACCAAAATACTTCTTATGAAAATATTTACTTATATACATTTAATAGGATTTGAATATATTAACTCATATGAAATTATCAGATTTATCAACATCTGATCTAGACATAAAATATTCTATATACATAGTTTTTACAAAGTATCAAATTCTTAGTTTCTTATGTATATCATAATTCATATTCTAATATAGATTAAAATGTTAAAATATTAGTACTTACATATTTCTGTACTGTTTATGTCAGGAAGTCAATGAGAATTCAAATAATTCAATAATTCACCAGATCTAGTTTTCAACGTCTTAAACTCTGGGATCTTTCAAACTGAGTAAATATCACTCACTAGAAAATGTAAAACCCTTGACCAATGAAATGTAAATGTTCAACCAATGAATGAATGAATGTGTGAAATGTATAGGTGGATCAAGAGGGATGGGTGGTAACACTTAATACCTTATTAGTAAAAGAAAGACTTTAGATTTTAATTTATTTAACTATCTTAAATTTATTTTATTTATTTATCATTTATTTATTTATTTAATAAAATATACATCTACTACATGAAAACCATCTATCCTTCTGTATTTAATTATCCAGAATTGAACAATCCAACTTATATACTCATAGTTCCCTTTCTAAGCAAGAAATTCTTCAAATTCATATGGCAGTTTTGAATATTTTTAATATCCCAAATAACCAAAATGAGTTTGAACTACCATATATACATTGGGTTCCGAAACTTCATAAGAATCCTTACAAAGATACATAGCGGGTTCCAGTAAATGTTCAACCAAGCCTCTTTCGTTACTCCTCACTAAGAAATTAACATCAGTGAAGGAGAAACTACAAGCGTATTGTGCAACAATATTTTCAAGAAGTGGTGTAAATCAGATGTGGGGGTTAGCCTCTCTAGAAAACATCAGATAAAAAAATCGGAGAGGGCTACATTATTGCAGCTATTCGCCCCGTTAGCAGACCGATATTTGTTTTCATATGTGTACAGGTCTTTGGATCGCTTAAAAATATTTTTTTCAACACCCCATTTTTTTTCTAAGCGATCTAAATGCCTGTGATATGAAGCAAAGTTTTGTGTAAAATCC